TCAAACACTAGGAAAAAAAATATTTGCCATTCACCTAATTGATATAACATGTCTGATATTCAGACTATATCTCTCAACAGAAACACTCAACACTAAAAATAAAGTATTACAAAATGGGCAAAAGATTGGCACTGACACTATCAAAGAAGTTATACAAATGTCAAATAAGCACAAGAAAAGATAGCCAACAAGGGACACCCCTACATAACTATTAGAATGTAAAAAAAAAAAAAGAAAGAAAGAAAAAGACGTATACCAGTCTTGCTGAAGATATCAAACAAACAAAACTCTTTTTTCCCCAATTTTATTAGGATATAATTGACACATGGCATTGTGGAAGCTTAAGGTTTACAGTATAATGATTTGACTTATATATATTATGAAATGCTTACTGCAATAAATTTAGTTATCCATCATCTCATATAGATATGAAAAAAGGAAAACAATTTCTTGTGATGAGAACACTTGGAATTTGCTCTATTAGCAACTTTCAATTGTACCACATAGCACTATTAACTATAGCCATTGCATTGTACATTAGATCCCCAGGACAATAACTATATTGTTTAACTGGGAGTTTTTACTTTCTGGCCACCTCATTCCATATCCTTTCTTCTTGAACTCTTGATCTGGGCTTGTGGATGTATACCTATACTGGTATCAAGTCAAAACTGTTTTTATTATTGTGGCCTTAGAGTAAGTCTTGTTATTGAAGACTGTAATTTCTGCAAATATTATTCTTTTTCAATATTATGTTGGCTACTCTAAACCTTATGCATTTCTGTATTAATCTTACTATTAACACATCACTTAAAAAAAAATCCCTCTGAAAAATTCAGGGATTGTATTGAATCTAGAGGCAAATTTGGGAAAGTTGACATCCCCCAATTATGAACTTTTCTAATCCAAGTATGTAGTTATCTCTCCACTTATTGAGGTTTTCTTTAATCTTGTCAGCAACCCCTACAGTCTTGATTTCCAGGGAAGCAGTTTCTGAAGTCAAGATTAGTATGATGGAGGTTTATCTGGGACAACCTTGGTGTGTCCACTTGTGGAAAAGAACAGAAGGAAGCAGAATTGGTGAAAGGGAAGTTGGAGCTCTGAATCTGGAATAGACCTTCTGAGTTTTCCCCAGTTAGGTCAAGGCATTCAGGGCTTCATATCCCCACATCGCAGAAACGACCTGCCCTGGGAAGGGAACATAACCTTGATTGAGTTCATTCCCTTCAACAGAGGCAAGGGCTCACACTTGATAGTTGGATGTTGATAGCTCTCCCAGCAACCAGGAGAATAAACCCTTCAGTCCTGAAGAGGAATCTGTATATCACATCATAGCGTCCTGTACAGTTTAACTTTCTTCAGCCCAGATGCATTTCTTCATGGAAGTGAAACAAGTCCAGGTTAAAGGTATGTCTCTTCTCTTGGAATAAACTTGTAAGTGGAAGGTGTGTGGCATTAATTCTAGCCCCCGACCCTGCAGCTGAGCTCAGAGTCACAACTGACATTCATTGTCTCTCTCTCCTATTTTTAACCTTTTATTTTATATTGGACTGTAGCTGATTAACAATGCTATGATAGTTTCAAATGAACAGCAAAGGGACTTGGCTGTTCTTCTCACTTTTCACACGTCTGCTGATCTTAGTCACCTTCACCTACAAGGGGTTTGAGCCCATCATACCATTCTCAAGCTGAGACTGCAATATTTGCCTTTATACCATCAAAATAGAGGATAGATTATAAAGATGTCCTCAAGTGGCATAATTGGATGTCTTTCTTCCTGTCCCCCTATGGTGTAAAAACAGCTCCCTCTTCTGTTGGTCAGAGTAAAAAGCTCATCCCAGTTCATCTAAAGAGATGTTGTGCCCCTCTGTGGAAGATTTTGTTCTTTACAGACAAGATTTTCTTAACCCCAGAGTTACTCTGACAGAAGGCATGCATCTCCCAAGTTGGTTACTGGAAATGATGGTAAGAAGGGTCACTCCTGCCTCTCCCTTTGGTTTCCAGATCCATGTATTCTATCTGTTGAGGACACAGCACCATATAAAGGTTATTGGTTTAAAGAATACACTATAACCTGGTATCTGAATGAGATCCTTGCTGAGTACAGTAATCTAGTCTCCAACCAATAAAAATAAATGAAAAATTAAATTAAATTAAATTAAATTAAACAAACCTCCACACACACACAAAAAGAATACACTATAACTTAGAAGATGGCATCATGTTGTAGTATTAACTCTTGAGATGGATCTCCAACTGTGCTTTCAAAGGACCTTTAGCCTTCCATTGCTCTGTCTGATTTGCAGCTAAGTGTTGATTCTGTTTTTATGTAACTAGTAGATCCCATGGTCAATCCTCTACTCCCTTATCTGAATGCTAGAGAGCATCAGACACATGATGTTATGTAAGGTCCTATTCCAGTTTGTGGATATTGGTTCTGGATGAACCCTATGGACAGGACAAGAATTCCATATCCAAATATGCATCTACTCCTGTCAAAGCTCTTTCCTTTGTGGAATGGGTATATATTAGCTAATTTGGCAGCAAACAGCTTATAGTTTCCTTTGAGGCAGGACTGTGGAGTCCTGGCCCTTGTTATGCTGTTATTACCAGTTGCTGGATTTACAGATCTTTAGAAGGAGATGTAATTTTAGGTGAGGTATTAGGATCACACTGCATATAATATTTACATGTGGAGATTTTCCATATTTTAATCTTTATATTTATTGTTATGTTTTTGGATGCTATTATTAATGGTATTACTGTTGTAAATTTTATTTTGCACTACTTATTGCCAATACATAGATATATGATTGATGTGCATATATTGAGAATATACTATATATAATTTATCACTGAGCTTGATAAATTAATAGTTTACAAATTATATTGCTTTTATGCAAATAATTAAATTATCTACAAATAAAATCTTATTTCTGTCTCATTTTTTTATACTTTTAATCTCTTTCTTGCTTTATTTCACTTTCAGGACCTCTAATAGACAGTAAAGGTTGCTAATAAAATAACTGATAATGAGAATTTTTATATTCTTCCATGGTTCAAAAGAAAAACTTTCACTCTTTTACTAGAAATATGTTACGCTTAGGGGTTTCTGTTGCTGCTTTTGTTAGTTTTTTTTTTTTCTGTGGAAGATTTTGTTCTTTACAGACAAGATTTTCTTAACCCCAGAGTTACTCTGACAGAAGGCATGCATCTCCCAAGTTGGTTACTGGAAATGATGGTAAGAAGGGTCACTCCTGCCTCTCCCTTTGGTTTCCAGATCCATGTATTCTATCTGTTGAGGACACAGCACCATATAAAGGTTATTGGTTTAAAGAATACACTATAACCTGGTATCTGAATGAGATCCTTGCTGAGTACAGTAATCTAGTCTCCAACCAATAAAAATAAATGAAAAATTAAATTAAATTAAATTAAATTAAACAAACCTCCACACACACACAAAAAGAATACACTATAACTTAGAAGATGGCATCATGTTGTAGTATTAACTCTTGAGATGGATCTCCAACTGTGCTTTCAAAGGACCTTTAGCCTTCCATTGCTCTGTCTGATTTGCAGCTAAGTGTTGATTCTGTTTTTATGTAACTAGTAGATCCCATGGTCAATCCTCTACTCCCTTATCTGAATGCTAGAGAGCATCAGACACATGATGTTATGTAAGGTCCTATTCCAGTTTGTGGATATTGGTTCTGGATGAACCCTATGGACAGGACAAGAATTCCATATCCAAATATGCATCTACTCCTGTCAAAGCTCTTTCCTTTGTGGAATGGGTATATATTAGCTAATTTGGCAGCAAACAGCTTATAGTTTCCTTTGAGGCAGGACTGTGGAGTCCTGGCCCTTGTTATGCTGTTATTACCAGATGCTGGATTTACAGATCTTTAGAAGGAGATGTAATTTTAGGTGAGGTATTAGGATCACACTGCATATAATATTTACATGTGGAGATTTTCCATATTTTAATCTTTATATTTATTGTTATGTTTTTGGATGCTATTATTAATGGTATTACTGTTGTAAATTTTATTTTGCACTACTTATTGCCAATACATAGATATATGATTGATGTGCATATATTGAGAATATACTATATATAATTTATCACTGAGCTTGATAAATTAATAGTTTACAAATTATATTGCTTTTATGCAAATAATTAAATTATCTACAAATAAAATCTTATTTCTGTCTCATTTTTTTATACTTTTAATCTCTTTCTTGCTTTATTTCACTTTCAGGACCTCTAATAGACAGTAAAGGTTGCTAATAAAATAACTGATAATGAGAATTTTTATATTCTTCCATGGTTCAAAAGAAAAACTTTCACTCTTTTACTAGAAATATGTTACGCTTAGGGGTTTCTGTTGCTGCTTTTGTTAGTTTTTTTTTTTTTTTTTTTTTTTTTTTTTATTTTTACTTTTTTTTTCCAATTTGGGGTTTTTTTTGGTTTTTGTTTTTTTAGGGGTTTTTGTTTTTGACTTTTTTTTACCTTTTTTTTTTTTTTTTTTGAATTGGCCTTTTTTTTTTTTTTTTTTTCCCCTCAAAAGTAAGTAAATCAACCTGTATTGTCCTAATTGGTTATGATGATATTATCTTCTCCGTATATTCCAAGATTTAATTTTCTTTGATTTTCTGTAAAGTTGATATTTACCTTATTTCTGGAGAAGCAAGAAAAATTAGCTTCTGTTTTCTGTGTGTGCTCAGTCATATCTGACTTTTTGTGACCCCATGGATTGCAGCCCACCAGGCTCCTCTGTCCATTGGAATTATCCAGGCAAGAATACTGGAGTGGGTTGCCATTTCCTCCATCAGTTTTCTGTATTCTCACCCAAAATACTGTATTTATGTTCAGCAGTATCTGGACTGAGTGAATGAAACATAAAGTATAACTATGACATTAGGCTCCATTCACTCAGCAAATGAAGAGGAAGAAGAAAGTTTGAAAATGTAAATTGTTAGGAGGGAGGCAGAAATGTAGTCTTACTGCATCTTTATTCTATTGGTGCGGTCAACAAGATGTATGGTCCCCAAAGCGTCCTTTAACTGCAGGATAATACTTGGGACAAACTGATTTCACTAACTACTTATTTCCATCCAGTACTGCACTCATTAGCAAACTATCAATCTTCACTGTTTGGGCAAGCTTCTCACAAATAAAATTTTTAGTATCAGTGCACTTAGTATAAGAAAAGTATCCATACTGTATGATTCCACAATACATCTTATCATTTATGACACTTGTATTTCTTGTAAACCTGAAAGAGAAAATAAAGAATTACACTTGGCAAGTCAAACATTTGAAACACAGTCCCAGAAAAAAAAATCACTTTTCCAACATATCACTGCTTCCATGGTCTGTGTTGTCTAAAATAAATTTTAATTATTATTTAGAATGGCAAGTGTCCAAGTTACTTATATTCTCTCAGGCTTTTCTAGTTTCTCACAGCAGTAGTATTTGTTGTCCTTTTCTTCCAGACCTAGCACCTCCCTTCCACAATACCTAGTATGAGTAAAATAATGCAATTCCATTAGATTCTCCGGGAAAACTGGACAAGCAATAAATTTTAAGGCTGTCCTCCTCAAATATTTTTCATAATCACCAAAAATCAGAAATTAACCTCATCTGTGATACCTTAAGCTCAGCATCATCTCCAAGTGACATTTCCCTCAGCCATTTTCCAGAAATTTTATGATGAAGCCCTGAATGATTGCCAGCTCCTAACATAAGATGACTGATGAGGGACTATAGATTAAAGACAAACTCGTAAACTGAATATATTATCTTTGGGAAAAAAATGTACATCACCACTTGGATCAGTAACTAATGATTATTAATAAATAAGTTCCTCAAATCTTTAATTTTCTGTTTGAAGTATCATAACACAGATTATATTAATCCCAGCTCATTTCCAGGAACAAATTCCAAAGTAACATCAAGGATTTAAAAAAAGGAATTACATATATTATATGTACATGATATATATAAAAGTGTATTATATACATAGACTAGTATATATTTCTATTTCTATACTATTTCTTGTGATTTGAAATAGCTACTGTGTTTTCCATCCCATTATAGTTTGCTTTCCCATTAGCAATAATTACAAATAAACACAGGGAAACTCTAATTTTTGAAACAAGATTTCACCTATGCTGTCCATTTATGCTCACACTACCTTTACTTCTAGAATTTCACTCCAAATGAGACCTTTAGAATATACATCTTTCTCTCCTTTGTACAGATCCTATCCCCTGTTTGGAGGAGGGCATAGCAACCCACTCCAGTATTCTTGCCTGAAGAATTCCCATGGATGGAGGAGCCTGGTGGGCTACAGTCCGTGGGATCGCAAAGTGTTGGACAGGACTGAGCGACTAAGCACATCCCCTGTTCGGTATTGTCATTGCAGACTGACAAAGACAGCTGCAGTGTCTTTATGACCCATATTCCTACACATGCTATTTCTATCTGATGGGAAAAACAAGCCGGATACAACAAAACAATAACCAAAACACAACCAAAGATTCTATTTGCTGCCTTGCCCAACGTTGTGAATCTGGAGGAATCTCGGGGTTTAGGTTCAGAGTGGCAGCACCCCAGCACATATGTCTTGAGCTCACCCCAGCTTCATGTGTCCTCAACAAACAAATCTGTACGAATTTGTGAGATTGTAAGGGCATCCAGCCTGCTTCCCCGGTGACTCAGCAATAAAGAATCCACCTGCAATGCAGGTGACCTGGGTACAATCCCTGAGTCGGGAAGATCCCCTGGAGGAGGGCATGGCAACCCACTCCAGTATCCTTGCCTGGGAAATCCCACGGACAGAGGAGCCTGGCAGGCTACAATCCATGGGGTCACAAAGAGTCGGACACAACTTAGCGACTAAACAACATCTAGCAGTTTGAGGCTGTTGTTTCTTTCTTTAGTTGAATCCTGTCTACTTCCTAAATTTAAGGAATTATAAAACACAAATGAATTTTGGCATTCTTTTTATATACGCCTTGCCCCCACCCCATTATAAGCAGAACAAATACAACATATGAGTCCATTTATACTGGCATATTTATAACCAATTTCTTACTATGCTGTGCAACAAAATATTTTTTATATCATGCCCATGTTCATTTTACTCTCTTTACCAGAAACGCTCTTCTAGTCAATCTCTAATTTTTTATTCAAAAATGTCCACTTCAAATTTCAGTTATAACATAAATTTCAAAGATAAAATCTATTTTTTGTTGTTCTGTGTATTCTTACTGAAGCATTTATCACATTTTATTCTTTTCATCTGCTGAATTAATTTGTCTGTGCGTCCAGTCAATGGTTAAGTAACAAAAAGAAGAATCAATCTTTCACTTGTTTTAGACTCCTAGCATTGCACAATTTTAAGTACATATTCAAGCCCAGTGAATTGTGTTGACTTCTATAGTTTTCTTAGATAAAAGCATTATTCAAAGAAATCCTCCCTTATTTGGCTTGTAGTTGTCCAGATAATGGGAAGACATTTGTAATAACTTTCTCATTATTAAACACATCACAGAAGTCTGATGGAAAAGGGTTCTTTGTGGATGCAATTTCACTAGAAGCTACGGTGCCCCTGAGAAAATTCACCTTTACTGAAAGCACCTATTAAAATTCAACAAGAATAAAGACTTACCAGTCGAGGGGGATAATTGTATCCAAGGTCCCGTGTTTTCTGTTATCTTTCCTGGGAGATAATCCCAACCAATGGTTATATAAATTCAGAGATTTTATAAATTCCTATAGGAATCAGAGGTGGCTTGTTAAAATCATTGTCTCCCTTTTCTGTAAATTACCTCACAGTGTAATTTCTTACAAATTACAAGGCGACATCTTTGACACTTTTCTACTATTTTCTATGCCATTAAAAGAAATTGAGACAGAGTGCCCCTTACTGAGAAATGTCTTTCAAACATTGATATCTCAGTTACTATCTGGGGGCAAAGAGATGGTTCATTGCCAAAAACCCAAGCTAAGGGAAACATGAGTATGAGAAAAATGTAATAAGGTCAAAGGAGAATGGTTATAGAATAGAATTCAAATTCAGTTCAAGAGATTTGTAGCCAAAGTAATATTTTTTTTTCTTTTCTCATATGCTTGTCATTTGTTAAGCAAATAACTATGAATGGATCATTTGAGAATAATAAGACTAGGCAGAAACTAGATTGATTTCCTCTCTGCTATAAAGAAGAACAAGGATTCTAACAGTAAGGAAGCAGAGACTTTTGAAAAAATATATTTCTGTTTTAAAATAGATATGGGATTACTATCTGAAAAACCAGAAATGCCAATGAATAAGTAAACTATAGAGAGTTGTTGTTACTGTTGTTTAGTTGCTAAGTCATGCCCAACACTTTTGCGACTCCATGGACTATAGCCCACCAGACTCTGTCCATGGAGTTCTCCAGGCAAGAATGAATACTGGAGTGGATTGCCATTTCCTACTCCAGGGGATCTTCTCCAGCCAGGGCTCGAACCCACATCTCCTGCATTGGCAGCTGGAGTCTCTACTGCTGAGTGACGAGGGAAGCCCAGAATACGTGTGTGTGTGTTAGTCACTCAGTTGTGTCCAACTCTGTGCGACTCCCATCAGGCTCCTCTGTCCATGGGATTCTTCATATTCTCCAAAATATAGAGGTACAATTTAAATATTAGAAAAAAATAAATAAATAAATAAATCTTCCAGAGAATTCACTTTTCCTGGGACCCAGGAACTCAGTGCAATATATCTGCTTGGCACTTGCCTTTGCCATCTCTCTTTTATTTACCTATTCTGCCCTGATGTGCCACACAACTTGTGGAATCTTAGTTCCCCAACCAAGGATCAAACCTGGGCCCTTAGCAGTGAAAGAGCCAAGTCTTTAAACTACTGGACCGCCAGGGGATTCTCCTTTGCCACCTAAACTTAATTCTGTCGTTCAGTTTTTCAGTCATGTCTGACTCTCTGTGACCCCATGGACTGCAGCATATCAGGGTTTCCTGTCCTTTGCTATCTCCCGGAGTTTGTTCAAACTCATGTCCATAGAGTCGGTGATGCCATCCAACCATTTCATCCTCTGTTGTTCCCTTCTTCTCCTGCCTTCAATCTTTCCCAGTATCAGGGTCTTTTCTAATGAGTCGGCTCTTCGCATCAGATGGCCAAAGTATTGGAGCTTCAACTTCAGCATCTGTCCTTTCAATGAATATTCAGGGCTGGTTTCCTTTAGTATTGACTTGGATCACCTTACAGTTCAAGCGACTCTTGAGAGTCTTCTCCAACACCACAGTTCGAAAGAATCATTATTCCAATATATGTAGCCTTTTTCTCTCAGTTAAAAAATGCAAATGCAAAAGGGTAGAAACAGTGAACTTCCTTCTATGTGATTTTACAGAACTGGTAAGACCCAGAAATAATTACAGATCTTCTGTTTTCAGATAAATGCTCAGAACTATGTCCCAAGAATTGATTCTAAAGTTCTAGTTTGGAAATATTCACAGACCTAAAGATTCTGAGGGCTCCACGTCTACCATCTGCCAATCAGCCACTGAGAATCCACTGATGCTAAGGTGCTAAGCTAAAGTTTCATATGGCCTGTCTTGGCTTGGTACCCCGATATGAGTGTACTAAGTTCCTTTCACCTCATACCCCAACTAAAATAAGCCAGATTCATATCTGGACTAATATAAATCTTCCCCAACATGTCTCCCTCCTCTATTCCATGTTGGGGAAAGTGACTTCTTCCCTTACAGGCAGAGATCCATGTGATCTTACCACCACACTTTTGCTTTTAATCATCAACAGGCTGGCATTGTAGTCAGAACAAATCTCATCACTCTTCTGCCACGTTCTTGCCATATTCTGTAGTAGGTAGCAGCTGTCGTCATGCCACAACCACTTCTCTGGACAAGGTTTACATTTGTGCTCTGGAAGAAGAGATCCCTTCATTTGGTTGTGTAGATATCTTCATGATTCTTATTCCCATTGTTCTCTCATTAAAAAAATAATAATAAAGCATATTTACTTGTCTTTCTTCTTCTAACATCAAAAGTGGAGAAAATAAATCTTGTGTTCCAGGCTCCCACATACAACCACAATGTGTCCAAAACATAATTTGAACACATTTGAAATTAAACACTTGGATTTCAATCTATTTTCTAGTTCAGGAGCCCTGAATAGCAATTAATTAATCTCCTTCTTTCCCTTTGTCATTTTGTGCATTTCTACATAGCAATAAAGGCCAATCACAAGACAAACTGCCTTTTCCAACTAGAGCATTTCCAGCTCTTTGACTTGTTGAATATTCGGGAGACTTAAGATGACAATATGTTTTACTTATAATAACTATAGAAACTGTTAGAGATACTAAAAGACTAGTTCCTCCCAATTCCAAAGGTAAGACTAAGCTTGAATTTTTTTTCTATGAACTCATATCAAACATTGAGTGAAATTTAGGAACAAGGTAATCTATAAAATGGTGATATACCTTCTATTGCCCTTCTTTTTAAAAATCATAAAGAGGTGATCTGATTTCCCTGGTGGTCCAGTGTTTAAGAATCCAACTTCAAATGCCGGAGACATGGGTTCAATTCCTGGTCATGGAAGATTTCATATGCCATGGAGCAGCTAAGACCATGCACTCCAACTACGGAAGCCCAGGCCCCACAATAAGAGAAGCCACTGCAATGAGAAGCCTGTGCACCGGAACTAGAGTATAGCCCCTGTTTGTCACAACCGGAGAAGGACTGCACACAGCAGCAAAAGGCTCAGTGCAGCCAAAAATCATATAGTGCTCAGATGTGGCTTCTGCATGCTCAGCTATGTCTGACTCTTTGCAACCCCATGGACTGTAGCCTGCTAGGCTCTTCTGTCCATGGGATTTTCCCCACAAGAATGCTGGAGTGCGTTGCCATTTTCTCTTCCAGGGATCTTCTCTACCCAGGGATCGAATTCACGCTTCCTGCATTGTAGGTGGATTCTTTGCCACTGAACCCCACAGGAAAATAAATTAAAGAGGTGATTTATCCTTTCCTCCCTATATTCTATTGACTTCAGTGCCCCAAATAGTAGTGGTAAATGTCAGATTAGAGAAATTGCAGACTGTTTTATATTTCAGTAAGTACCATCTCTTGATAATTTGGGGGATTATAGTTATTTTTCTGTTTTTCTTCTAACGGCACAGAAACATCAATGGGTCTTAAATCGACCACATTTAATTCTTTCTTCCAAATAATAGTTTCCTGGGAAAGGCTGCTAACTTTTGATGAAGTGATCAAGTGACCCCAAGATTTAGTTTATTGTCTAATAAATAACTCAGAAAGAAATAAAGGATTACCTCTGTGTTTTGTATATAACTCACGACATAATTTGGTGGCTATTTCTTCAAGTTTGATAGAAAGGTTCCTGATTTTCTGGGAACTATTTGTGTTCTGCATGAGTTGTAGAGACATATTTCTTTGAAGTTCTTCTTTGATATTTTGTAGCTTATTCAATTTTTCCATGCCTGTCTTCAAAGTTATGTGAACTTCAGATTTAAAAAAAAAGAGAGAAATGATAAAAAAATTGTAGTCCCTCAGTGCAACCATCATCTCCTTTCTGCTGATTTAAGAATATTAAATGTCTAGGGAAGCAGTTATTTCACAGAAGTAAGGGAAAGAGACTGAGTGCATATGACACTATTTAGAGGACGAGAAGCGAGGCGCAGACATAGAGAACAGACTTGTGGACACACCTGGGGAAGGAAAGGGTGGGATGAATTGAGAGAGTAGCATTGAAGCATATACATTACCATATGTAAAGTAAACAGTTATTTACATATAAGTGCTACATATAACATGGGGAGCCCAAGTGATGCTCTCTGCTAACCTAGAGGGGAGGATGAGGCAGTGGAAGGGAGGTTCAAGAGGGAGGGGATATATGCATACATATAGTTGATTCATGCTCTTGTACAGCAGAAATTAACATAACATTGTAAAGCAAGGATCCTCCAATTAAAAATAAAATTTTACATTAAAAAAATTAAATAAATACAAGTGATTTTTTATAACCAGCCCAGGTTGGGTACATGAGACAAGTGCTCGGACCTGGTGCACTGGGAAGACCCAGAGGGATCGGGTGGAGAGGGAGATGGGAGGGGGGACTGGGATGGGGAATACGTGTAAATACATGGCTAATTCATTTCAGTGTATAACAAAAACTACTGTAATGATGTAAAGTAATTAGCCTCCAACTAATAAAAATAAATGGAAAAAAAAAAGAAAAAAAAAATTTTAAAAAGAGACTGAGTACCACGTTGTAACTATCTAGTTTAAAGTCCCTTTGTGGATGTATCACCTATTCCAAGGCTTTGGAGCAAAACTCACTTCTAAGTGTTTTCCCTGCAGTAAAAACATAGGGAATACGTACACATGGTGCCTAAGACTCCCAGGCCAATCAGCAGCAGAAGGCACAGAAGAGTCACAGCCAAGTCTCTTTGACGCCATACGTGGGAAGGAACAGGCGGTTCTGTGGGAAGCAAAATCAGTAAAGACACTTAGAATGGTGTGCATTTTAATTTGATTCACGTGTTCAAGTGTGTTGTCTTTATTGCTTTCCTCATAGGTCTGTGGTAAAGGAATGTGTTTTTCTAGAAACTCAAAGGCTTTTAAAAATAACGTTTTAAAGACTAAGTAAGTCAAGAAGAAGTCAAAAACGTTTTGTTAATTGTTTTGCATGCAAACTGGTTTTCAAAGCAGAAACTTGGGATTGATAGGCTGATTCAAGAAACAGAAGCAAAAATGGGGCTGAAAAACAAGTGAGGAAGTGCTGACCGAAAGGGGAAAGAAAGGGCTTCCCAGGTGGCTCAGTGGTAAAAACTCTGCCTGCCGAGCAGGAGATGCATGAGGACTCACGGATTCAATCCCTGGGTCAAGATGATCCCCTGGAGAAGGAAATGGCAACCCACTCCACTATTCTTGCCTGGGAAATCCCATGGACAGAGGAGCCTGGCGGCTACAGTCCATGGGGTCAAAAAAGAGTCAGATCATGACTGAGTGACTAAGCAACAACAACAAAGGGAAAGGAAATCCAAAAAAGAAGGACCATGTGTATATGTATCGCAGGTTCACTTTGCTACACACCTGAAACTAACACCACAGTGGAAGCAATTTCACTCCAATAAAAATCAATAATAAATCTATGAGAAAGAGAAAGAAAAACAAGTGAGGAGACAAATTAATCTGAAAAAGATGTATCTTGTCTGTACAAAATTGGGGAAACTGAGCAGCAAGCAGCTAAGAGCAAGGTCAATTTAAGTGTTCCTTCCTTGAGTTGACAAATGTGGGGTATCAGAGAAAGTAATTTCCTTTGTCTATGTTTCCCCCAGAAAATACTCAGAGTTTGGCTGTGGAACATACACGAGAAAGTATCCCTGTAATGTCTCTGGGTGTTCTCCCATCAGCCAGTTCCTAGGTTAGACTGAATAGTTTCCTCAGGATTTTTTCATGCTCTGAGCAGCAAACTTTGCTTGAATGTTTCTTTTTTGTTGAACTATGAAACTTCAGACAGATCATTTCAGTACTTAAAAAAATACCCGAGAAATTATAAACTTTATATTATAAATTAATTGTTATTAAATTCCTATGTTATTTAAATAATCATTACTTGTATAAATGGATACTATATATTTCTTGAAAATATAATTCAGAGATAACATAACCTTACTATACTTACTATACTATACTTATGTCCCTCATATCACAGTTGGTGATACTATGATACTGTGAAATATAGAGAGAATTGAAAATGAAATGTGAAACAATGTTTTTAGACCTTGGACAATAGTTGACACATGAAAGAATTACATAGTCAAAATCATTCCTAAGGTCAGAAGCATGACTTCAAGTGCTATTATTTTTACAGAAGTTTTCTAATTTATTTATGTATTCAGTTAATCAAAAGTTATTGAATATCTCTGTACACTGGACACTAGTCTGGATGCTAATAAAGCAGAAGTGAGCAAGACATACCAGTCCCTGCTTTCACAGGAGGCAAATTTTAATTATGAGAGAGTTGAGAGAGGTCTCTAACTCTTAAATGGTATGCACAGGTTTGAAACTGAGCTATATTATAAACAGCATGTAGTTCAGAACTTATGGCCACTGGGAATGAAAAATTGGTGCAAAGAAATTGCAGATAGCAAGGACACCTAATTCAAAGACTCTAATTTGGAGAAAAGTTTTACCTGTTTGATAAAAACAGAAAAGATTCAGAGTGGCTAAAGAATTGTGGCCAAGGTGAGAAATGATGCTAGAAGTGGTCAAAGGAGAAGTCAGGAGACAGATTAGAGCAGAGATGTGACTGTCACCATGGGTCAGGGAGGAGGTCATCCATGACTGAAACAAGGATGATCCCCATGAAACACAGAGCAGAAACCTAGTCGAGTTAGATGAGAAGAGAGAGAGAGAGAGAGATGGATAACTAGGAGAGAGAGAGATGGATAACTAGGAGTCTGTGACCAGAGACAATGGGTTCAGCAAGTTGAGTTGTGGAAGGAGATGAAGAAATGAAGGGAAAATGGGGAGACTTATGTGGTCAAGTGAGGATTATTTTATGTTAAAATAGGAGTAGGATATGGCAACCCACTCCAGTATTCTTGTCTGGACAATCCCATGGACAGAGGAGCCAGGTGGGCTACAGTCCAGGGGTTACAAAGAGTTGGAGACAGCTTAGCGACTAAACCACCACAGCCACCAAGAAGTATGTCGCTGCACCAGAAAGGGGTAATGAACTAAAGGAGGGAGAGTGAATATTAAAGCAAGAGAGAAAGTGGAAAATTGTTGAAGAAATGTCTTTGACAAGGATACCTGCATTGAAATTTAGAACCAAATGAGAAGATCTGGTTTTTGATGAGTAAAACAGGATATTGTAAATATCATCTAGAAGTGAGGCAGAGAGTATGAGTCAAATAAAGCAGGATAGAAATTTTGGTAGTAGAGAGAAAAGGGGTAGAATGAAATAGAAGCAAAGTTTGTCAAATGAAATGGACTTCCCCAGTAGCTCAGTGATGAAGAATCTACTTGCAATACAGGAGACACAGGAGATATGGGTTCAACTCCTGGGTCAGGAAGATTCCCTGGAGAAGGAAATGGCAACCTACTCCACTCTTCTTGCCTGGCAAAATCCCATGGACACAGGAGCCTGGTGGGCTACAGCTCATAGAGTTGCACGTAGGCTACAGAGTTGGACGCTACTGAATACACATATACATATATTGGCAAATGAGCGTAAACTGGGTTTGAGAGCTTGTGCATTTTTTACGTGGCAATGTTCAGCTGCTCAGGTAGGGCACAAAGTGGGTAGATAGTTAAGAATTGGAATTTTTCAAGGAAAAAGCACAGGGAAGGAGCATATGAGACCAAGGGTTAGATGTTAAATAATACAAAGTTTATATTATATAATATAAACTTTAAGCTGAATAATGAGAAAATTAGACAAAATTGAGAAAGCCAACAAGACATGGATTTAAGATGTTTTTAGAGTCAAAGAATTTCTGGAAATTTAGAATAAGGACAATTAGTATGACAGAAAATGAGATATAATGTGATGGGATATGTTAAGAGCAATTATGGTATATTAAGTTCATGATATGTTCTGTTCCTCTCAAACCATATAAAAGGAGAAATATCAACAAGGAAGTTGGCAGAAAGTATTGTAAAATCTTTAACTTCCAGTCCTTAAAAAAAAAAAACAAAAAAAAACCAGTTTGTATTAGAGGCAAAGGCCGCAGAATTAAACTGTTATCCCTTCTCAGGATTTACAATGCTGATGAAAAATGGACCCAAGAATAAAATTAGAACTTCAAAGAATGCTACGTTTTGGTGAGAGGGAGAACAGTTAAAGACTACATGAGAATTTTTCTATTAGTTCCTTCTGATTTCACTGCTTCTACTAACTTTCTGTGTTATCCATATCTACTGTTTAATTTATGCACACTGATTTTAAGTTTGCATGTTCTGGGACAGATTTCATCCAAAAGACTAAAAGCCAGGAGGTACAAGCTACATACAATTGGAGAAATAGAAGATTTATGAATAAGATGGAGATTACAGTGTAGAAAGTAAACACAAGTAGTCCATTTATCTCAGAAATAAATTAGGATTAAAAAATATCAAACTTTCTGGCACAGGATGGATTTGAATGTGTCTCTTCTAATATTTCTTTATCTCTCTTCTTCCTTTAATACTTGATATATTCTTTCATTTAATTTAACCTCTTCTATATTTTAGTAAATTGGGAAAAGATCTCCAAAACAAAGTAGAAAAATTTTTAGAGTTTAATATAGGCTCAGTTTAGTAAAAAAAATTCAAATGAAATTCTCTAAAATTCCTGTCTGTCTCTTTGTCTCTCTGGTATCTTGTGCACCAGACACATACACATACATACTAGCATTTATTTAGAAAAAAGAAGGTACAAAGCCTTGACTTTCTTAGACAGCACATGTTCATTGTTCCATGGCTACCTTTCATGGGGGAAAAATGTTTCACAATCCAGTCATATGAAAATATTATCCTATCATAATTATCTTGATTGTGATATAAAAAAAAAAACCTATAAAATTTGTAAAAGATTAAGTGTCCAGTACATTGATCATTGCCTTAAAAAAACTTTACAATCATTTTGTATGGACATTTTTGGTAGTTTGGGTAAAATTAAGATGCTTAATTAAAAATTCAAATAGAGAGATCATTGCCAATTCACTAACATCCCAGGGGAACCTACTCTTAACACTTCTGCCACTTCATACACCCTGACCACCTTACAACACATCTACAGCTCAAAATCTTACCTTCTTTCTCAGATTTGTCAAACTTCTGAATATTTTCTGTCTGACTGGAGTCCTGGAATTTTAGATCTGCATAAGTAACTTCTTCAGACATTGATGTTATGCAAAGAAAGCCCAGCAAACTGAAAAAAAAGAGAGAGCAAATTAATAAAGTTGGATGATAAACAGCTGTGCTTTCAAATGTCTGTTCATAAGCCAAAGTTTAAACATATCTTTAAACTTCTGTTTTTTAAATCCACAGTACCAGCCACTCACAGCTCCGGAAATGAACTCAGAGAAGAACAGAGAGCATTTTTCTTCCTCTTATCTCTTCCCTTTCTCATTTCTCTGAATCTACGGGCCACAGAAAGTAGTTTTTAAAATTTGTTTGGGTATTATTAGCATAGTGCAAAGGAGCACAAATCAACATGGTGCAAATATAACATGGAGTTTCTTGGAGAAAAACTCTCAAGGGAAAAAATAACAGAAAGGACATGGCCCTCAAAGTCTCACCAGCGTGCAGCAGTGACTTGGCATAGATATTCTGAATGTGTTTTGGCAAAGGTCTTGATAGAGAGATTTGCTTAGCTGGGAGATCACACATGCACAGAGAGAGGGAGAGCAAAAGCCCCAGCGCAGGGCTTCCCTGGGGGTCCAGCGGTTAAGAATCCACCTTCCAACACAGGGGACATAGGTTCAATCCCTGGTCGGAAAACTAAAATTCCACTTTCGTTTAGTCGCCAGAGTCATGTCTGACTCTTTTGCAACCCCATGAACTGTAGCCTGCCAGGCTCCTCTGTCCATGGGAATTTCCCAGGCAGGAGTACTGAAGTGGGTTGCCATTTCCTCCTCCAGGGGCTCTAACCTGCACCTCCTGTATTGCAGGTGGATTCTTTGCCATTGAGCCACCCATTCCACATGCTGCAGAGAACTTAAGCCCACGTACCACAGCTACTGAACCTGCATGCTCTGGAGCCATGCGCCACAACTAGAGAGAACCCCACATGCCGTAACTAGAGAGTCCGTGCACTGCCAGGAAAGATCTCACATGATGCAATGAAGACCCCATGTGAGGGGACTGAGAGCCCATACAAATAGGTAAATAATTTTTTTTTTTTTTGGAAAGGAAAGCCCCACCTCTGCACCCTGATACACAGGTACAGGATAGCCTAAAAGGGCCGAGGAACACCTAGTTTCTCTAGTAACAAAAAATATACTAAGGGTTCTAGAATAAAACCATACCAGGGAGTATGCATATTGATGGCTATGGTCAGTATACCACAAGTCCCAGAAACAACTTTGCAGGTCAGGAGATTAGCAGACATTGGATCCTTGCCAAAAGGTCCATGAGACATTTGGTCTATGCCAAGTTTCTTGACATTTTCCTCCTATCCACAATGTCCGTGACCATATATGTGCTGTGCAGGGCTTAACCATGTCCAACTCTTTGTGATCCCATGTGTAGCCTACCAGGCTCCTCTGTCCTTGGGGATTCTCTGGACAAGAACACTGGAGTGGGTTTCCATGCCCTCCTCCAGGGGATCTTCCTAACCCAGGGATCAAACCCAGGTCTCCCGCATTGTGGGTGCATCCTTTTCCAGAGAAGCCCAAGAATACTGGAGAGGGTAGACTACCCCTTCTCCAGAGGAACTTGACCCAGGAATGGAACCGAGGTCTCTTGCATTGCAACTGGATTCTTTACCAGCTGAGCTACCCAAGAAACCCATGAACATATTTGGTTCATGCCAAATGGTTTTAGACAAGACTAAATATGACCAAGTATCAAAGACCTTTCAGTATCAAAGGCTTTTCAGTATGACCAAGCATCAAAGACCTCTCAGTATGGGTCTTATGGATGTTTTGGATGGGACCAAGTGCCTGGTAAGGGGGAATTCTGCCAGCTGATCTGTTCCAATTGTGCATTCTGGAAATGGAAAATAACCACAGACTGGGTTTGGTGACACACTGGGCCCACAGTGAGATGGACCTAAACTAAAACTCCACTGATCACCTAACCTCTCTAAGCTCTTACTCTGTCTGGTGGGTCACAATGATATTATTGGTCTCCTGGAACTAGTATAGGTTCAGAGTCAGAGACTAGTATTTTCTGAAAGGTCTGTTTATTTCCTTTTCTCAAATGCATGATTATGCTAATAAAAGGGGAATTTGTGCTTATGTCCTCACCATTTTAGGATCTGTCAGAAGCCCTGGTTCCCTGAGTACAAACTCTTTTCTCAGGCAACACGGTGAAAATCTCATTAAATTTTAAGCTATGTCTGCTCCTCTGGACTTCTTATGCCAGGAGCCCAGCAGGAAAGAAAATGAGTCACAATCCTAGCAAGGCTCATTAAACCTGGTTATCAGGAAATTGTAGGGCTGTTGCCTAAGACAGGAAGTGAAGCATGTATTTGACCCCAAGCTGATCTACTAGATATCTCTTGATAGTTCCCTGTTAAATTTTGACAGCAAATAGGTAAGTTCGGTAGAAATGGGGTATTATATCCAGGGTCTTAGACCTGTTAGTGATGAGTCTCTTGGTCACCCTACCAGGTGAAATGTTTAGTTTAGTTCAAGGTGTTGTCAAGGGTCATGGAACTAGAATTGTAGTGGGATAGGAAGGTGATGAATATTAGTTGCAGTTTCAGGACAGATTGCAACGATTAGGAGTATAGTTTGTCCCACTAATTTTTTTGTGAGTTTCATCAAGAAAAGAGACTGGACAGAACACTGGAGGGGCTGGTAAAGGAAAGTCACATACTAATCAAGCAAATCAAGCAGTGACAGAGTAGACTACAACAAGTACTCTGGTTTGCTACCCAGATTCTCCCATCAGGACTGATGTACTTACTTCCCAAGGTACTGAGAGTGTTGGCAACTGAATTCTCTGCTGAGTCTTTTTCTTGAAATTGCTGTCTGCCAAAGTGAGTCACCTTTCTCAGGGACAGCCTACATCAAATGAGTGAGCAAGGTAACAGGTGGGTGGGGGGGGGCGGGCTGTAAAGGTTCAGCCTTCTGGCCTCCAGAGATGCAACTTTGAAGGACCAGCCTAGCTCCAGAGTTTCCTATAGGATTAGCTGAGCCCTAATCCTCAACTGTGTTGTATGGATGAACTTTTACCTTTACCCAGTGTTGCTTGTCTTACCCTCTAAGCTCTTATTCTGAAGAACATATCACATTAAATCTTCTACATAGAAATCTCAGAATTTTAGAGACTATTTGCTAGGGAATCCTACATATTTTAAAAAAAAAAAGCTAAAGTGATTATTTTCTGGATTCATTTTATATTTTTAAGGCAATAAAAACATGTTGTCATATATGACTCTAGTTGCTTCTTTTTTACTTGACTCTTACTGTATTCACTCACTTACTCATTATCCATCCGGTCAGTCAATGAGTATGCTCTAATCACAGAAACTGTAGTTGTTCAGCCGCTCAGTCATGTCCAGCTCTTTGCAACCCCGTGGACTGTAGCACACCAGGTTCCTCTGTCCTTCCCTGTTTCCCAGAGTTTGCACAAATTGATGTTCATTGAGTCAGTGATGCTATCTAACCATCTCATCCTCTGCTGCCCACTTCTCTTTTTGCCTTTATCTTTCAAGATCACACAATAAATGACATATTTGTGGGTTTTAGTCTGACATGTAAGGAGTCTAGACATGATCATGCCCATTCACACAACAAGTTAAAAAAAAAAAAAAGACTAAAAAATAAGCAACCCTTCTTATATCCATCAGAGAACTGAGGTCACAGGGCAAATCACCACACCATAAGTTTGAAGAGACAGATCAGTAGAATCATAGCTTCCTGGAGCAGAGGCCCAGGAGTAGAAAAATACATGAGTTGCTACCAGAGCAGGAAAACCTAAACAGTAATTGACAAAACTATGGGAAAAATGTTAAAGGAAAGTTCTGCAAAGATAATGACAGCTCATCCAAACAAGATCAATGAACAGACTAAGTTATGTCAAACATTTTCCAAAAAGCAATTTCTGCATGGGATACTTCCTTCCCTGAATTGTTGTTATTTAGTCTCTGAGTTGTGTCTGACTCTTTTGCAATCCCGTGGACTGTAGCCCATCAGGCTCCTCTGTCTATGGATTTTCCCAGGCAAAAATACTGGAGTGGATTGCCATCACCATCTCCAGGGGATCTTCCAGGCCCAGGGATTGAACCCACATCTCCTGTGTTGACAGACATGTTTTTTACTGCTAGTGCCACCCAGGAAGCCCTAGGGTTATTGTGAGAAACAAATAAATCAATAAATGTAAAGTTTTAAGGGGACTCTCCACATAAATCTGATGTGAAGACAGATTTGGACATTATGTAATTATTTAATGAGGAAAGAGCTATCCAAAAAAATACCAAATTGGGCTCTCTCCAAGCAGTGTGTGTGTGTGTGTGTGTGTGTGTGTGTGTGTGTAATACCTCCCAGGAGTTCTAACCAGGGCAGGAGGAGGAGAGAGAGTAGAAACAGAGAGACTGGTTGAGATTCTTGAGATACACTGTGTCTCATATGCCAAGCTACCATGAAAAGCAATGAGGGATAAACTATTCTGACACAAGAAGCTAATATATCCTCAAGACGACCTTGGGATTTACTCCTATGCTGTAGAGGCTACCAGGGATAACATGATGATAGCAGGGCAGCTGGGAGAGGACTATGAGCAATAAATCTGATCAAATTTCAGAGTCACTCCAAGGTCAGAAACAAAAACAGTCATTTTTAGTGAATATGAAAGAGAGTCCATGAAATAAGAATTAAAAGACACAAGATTTCAATGAAAAGAACTGTAACCTCTTTTTGCAAACAAACTAGCCAACAAATATATCAAAATTATTAATAGCAGATATCTCTCTGGAGAGGAACAATAGAAGAAATTAGCTTTCCCATGAGAATAAAGAAAAGCCCAGTGTATAGGGGTCAGGTGCAGAGTTTTTGACCTTTGATGAATAATTTTATCTTTCTGGGAATGACAGTGGCAGAAGGCTACTTTTAAAAAGAAATGATAAAGTTGCTTTTTTTTTTTTTTTTTGATGTCTGATCTTATTTATTTGTTACTCTTGGAACAACTCATTTTTGACTGGACTCAAACGCCGGCGTGTTGCTCTGAAGAAACAGCGTACTAAGAAAAACAAAGAAGAGGCTGTAGAATATGCTAAACTTTTGGCCAAGAGAATGAAGGAGGCCAAAGATAAAGTTGCTTTTTAAATCTGTGTATA